TGGAGTGTCAGGAAAGACAATAGTTGAGCAAGGAGAGGCTGAGGACAAAGTTCTCACTTCTTCAGGGCAGCAGAGGCCGCCGCTGAAGGTTCATCAGGAGACTGAGGAACATCGGACGCACAGGTAGAGCAGTCATAGACACAGGATGACACTGGCTGCTGGGCTGTGAGGAGGTTGTTAAAGGGATCTGGAAAAATCAGGAAGAAGGTGCTGAGAGGACGCAGAAAATTCATCTCCTCTCACAGAGCACAGCCTACCTTGCCAGAGACCTTGGCCAAACATTTGGACCATTTTTCTGTGTGTGGATGCCTTATCCTCTCAAGAAGCTTATGACTCTTAGCAGCCATGGAGTGACACCACCATCACATTCATTGTCCAGGGAAATGAAAGGATCAGATCACTCCTGGAGTCTTCAGGTCTCACCTAAGAGTTCGTCAATAAAGCTCCACTGGATAAATCGCCGAGATGATGACAGCTTCTGTAGGGGTCAAGAATCCAGCACTAGTCTGCACGGAGTCTGCCTTTTTAGTTAGGTAAGCAGCCAAATCACTAGTCACTTCCAGTTGTTCAAAAGAGAGGCTCCTGTGACTGTGTCTAGCCCAAGGTGAGACAAGAAGCTGAGAAGATGATAATCATGTCCCGCTTGGCCTTGAGGCTCAGCAGACAGACACCTTTTGGTACACATAGCATCCTTGAGTTGTCATAGGCGACACACTCTGGAGCCTATACAGAACCTATACAAAGGATTCGGGCACTTGAGCTCCAATCTTTCCACATCTACAGATGTGTTTTTTGCTTTCCAGGCAGTTTTCTTCTGAGTCCCACTCTGCAGCCTGCCTCTGCTTCCCCCTGCTACACTCACATATTCGAAACCTGATTCCCACACATTTCCTTTTTTTTTTTTTTTTTGTGAAGAAAGAACAAACCGTATTTCCCCCAGGTGAGCAGGGTACATAAATCCAACTGAACCACTGTGTCATTAATCAGATCCCAGGTCTGGAGAAATTATACTAGACTGAGGTCTCCATATTAAATGCATCAAGTTAGGGATGATTCATTTACTTATAGGAAAAGAAAAGTACAAAGATGGTGGAAGAGAGCCAATTGTTCCTCATCCCACTCCTGCTTTGCTTTTATGATAGAAAAAAGAGAGAAAGAATCGAGCAGAGCAGGACTACATGGGGCAGTGCAGATACCCTTCCCACCGTGCACATCTGACAGACAGGGGATGCTACAAGACACTTGTACATTTGGAGAGTTGAGAGCATAAATCTGAGAGGGAGATTAAACTCAAGCTTCATAAAGCTTGCTCAGCCCCCAGTATAAGGCTATGAAATACAGTGCTGGCCTCTTATTGCATCAAATTGGATAATGGACTGATACTTCATAGTGAGGCTATCATGGAAAATCTCAGCTGACCTCCTGGCTCGGGCACTCATGGAAGCAATGCTCCCAAGTAGGTTGGGAGAGGCACAATCATCAAAAGTAAATCTCTCAGATCCCCTGACTGTCAATGGGCATTTACATAATGCAAAATAGAAGGTCCTCCTTGGAGTGGTAGGCCAGTGTGTCCAAGGACCTTCTTGCTCCATTAAAAAGACAATTTTTATCTGTGAAATAATGGGAAGCGCTAGACTTGGGTATGGAAATGGACGATTTTACGTATTTCATTTTGCACAGAAATATGTTTTAAATGAAATACTACCCGACAGATAAATTACTTGGTTTTGTGCATACAACAGGTTGATTTAGTGTTCCCAGCAGCCCAGATGGCTGGCGACATTGTCAGAGATGCTTAAACGACTTGGTACATGAAGGCAATTTCTGCTCTAACACAAAACATTTGCAGAGTAACCCTGATGCATAATCCTTTCTCTTTTAACCCCAGGAAAGTCAGCCTTGTTGGAGTAAGTAACAAATGAACTAAAATAATACACACTTCTCTAAAACAAAAGGACAGTTACATGTGCCATCCTCAGAGGTCCTTAGTGGCCCAAATTAAAACGCTCGATCCAAGATTCAGAGCAAGGGAAAGAGCCTTCATCATGTCTATGAAGAGATGTGCTGGCAACATGTTTTTCTAATTGCTTTCTTTGTCATCTCTGATTTTAAATAGTCACGTGAAAAGGACAGCTGGAATTTCGTTAGCTTCTCTCCCAATTCCCAGAAAGAAGAAAAAGAGCACCAGCCCTCCAGGACCCTCTCTAGGCTGGTATATGGGGAAATTAACAGTCGATGCTGAAAACATATGTTGTACAGAAGCATCATCTTAATAATAATAATGGCAGCGTTGGTGTCCAGACCATGGGACCATCCTACAGGTGAGCCCACTTCATAATGAGACACTCATGCTACTAAATTACCTGGATGGAGGCCAAAACAGATCTTCCCCATGCCAAGTTCTGCCTGTAGGAAATGGAACAGGAAAGGGAACAAAGCCCGGCATTCTACTATTGAACCAACCCTTCAGTGAGGGACAGCCACGTGATCAAACCGTCTACATGCCTGCAGCTGGAGGCTGTGTGTTGCACAGTGTGGCGCTCCAGGGTGAAGGACGAAGCCAGCAGGACACAAGCTTCTCGTCCAAGGTGACATCATTAAATTTGATGGAAGACTGAGGAACATAGGCAGAAGATGACGACCAAAGTTAGCCCTTGAATTTCCAAAAGTAAAAGGTAAATACTTACGCTTTGTTAATTTTTTTTGTTATTGTGATATGTGCTTTTTTTTTGTTGTTGTTACTGTGATAAAACAGCATGACCACAATAACTTATAAAAGGAAGGGTTTATTTGCTGCTTAATGTTCCAGAGGGATAGCAGTCCACGCTGATGGAGTAGAGGTAGTAGACCACTGGGACAATGGAGAGCTCACATCTTGAAGCTGAAACGGGAGGCAGAACACACTGGAAATGGTAGAAGTCTTTTAGAAACTTCAAGGCTCACCCTCAGTGATGTACTTCCTTCCAAAAGGGCAACACCTCCTCATCTTCCCCACGCAGCCAGCGGCTGCGGGCCAAGTATTTAAATGCCTGAGATTTCTGAGGGGCAGCTCACTCAAACTACCATAGTTGCTAATAGCTTATCTTACACGGACATGACATGATACCAGCTAAAACTATAAATAAGTCCTCAGATGATGTGACTAAGATAACTTATTTTTTAAAAAATCTACATGAAGGCAATTTTTGGCTCAATAGAACTAAATCTCTCACAATTGTAACATCGGGACCAGGTCCTCAAATTCATAGTCTTTTAGGGGGGCTCTTTGAAGATAAAGGTTAGGTTGAACCACAGTAATTCCCAGTGATTGATTTCTACTTGTGTCAATAAAATATCAATCATTTTTTGTTCCAATCTTTTGTAGGGCCTTTGTTAAGCAATGGCTAAATTGATTTACAATGATTTGAAATGTCCAAAATTGTCATTTTGTCTATTTATCCTATTCCTACATAAGCCCCCTATGTAAGGAGGAAAGCCCCACTTAATATCTTCTTTTACGTATGACCAAGAAGGAAGGATGTATGTTCTCAGTGATGAATGGAAATCCAGATTTCTCAGGTACCAAGTTTTCATCATGTACAAGTTCCTAAAACACATCACGGACACCCTGGTTAACATGTTGACATCCCCCCCCAGATAATCGGGATTATATCCTTCAGTGGTACAGAGTGGTTCCAGCTCCTCCCTGTTCCTTGTTCCCTGGTCATGCATTGAGGAGCTTGCTCTCCCAGAAAGCCATGATATGCTGCTACCTTACCATGATCCATATGGACCCAAAGAATCAGGGACTGAAATGTCTGAAACTTTGATGTAAAATAACCCTTTTTCTCTTTACAAGTTGGTTGTTTCAAGAGTTTTCGATAGCTGGGCATGGTGGAATCCTTTAATCCCAGAACTTAATTCCCAGAGGCAGGTGGATCTCTGTAAGTTCTAGGCCAGCTCTGGAACTACATAGTGAGTTCCAGGACAACCAGAGCTACATGCTAAAACCTTATCTCAGAAAACTAAAACACAAGAAAATAAACAAATGACACCAACAAAAAAATGAACTTGTTATAGATATCTGACTATCACAGGATTTATTAATTGGTAGCATGTTAGGATAGGTTATAGAACATACAATTACAGAATACATTCAGCTGTCACTAACAAAATACACACACACACACATACACACACACATAAAAAAATAGGGATTCTATTTTTGTCATGCAATAAAACTCTCAGAGACAGACCAACCAACCCCTTTTAACTTTCTGTCCTGGTGTTCTTAGCATTCTGATGAACAATCAACCCACAACATCATATCAGCATTCCAAGTAGATAACAAAGGAATTCTGAACAAATGCAAAACCCAAGTTGAATAAGCGTCAAGTCTAAGGTTTTGGGGTTTTTTGTTTGTTTGTTTTTGTTTTTGCTATTATTTTGATCCTAATGATTTAAGCACACAAAAAAAATGTTGACAATTTCTTCCATCTCATTGTGTATCATCCAATACAGAGATTAGTGATTAGCCCAAACAAACAGATGACTATAAAAAGAAGTGGTTTTAAGTGTATGTTTTGTATGAACACAACATCTTTTGGTGCTATGATTTGGGTGTAAGATGTCTTTACAGGCTTGTCCCAGATGCAGTGTTCAGAGTTGGTATTTAGGAAAGTGAGAGACTGTAAGGTATGTGTAGGAATATGTATTTTATAGGAATAGATGAACCCCCAAACTCTTGGATATTTAATATCATTGTAAATAAATTGCACCATTAATTAGTAAAGATCCTACAAAAAGTACAGAAACAAAAAAAAATGATAGACATTTTATGGACACAAGTAAAAAATCAATCATTGGACTTTTCTGTGATTCAGCTGACTGCTTATCTTCTAAGTATCCTCCTGGAAGTATATGAATTAGAGGCCCTGATATTACAATTGTAAGAGATTTAGTTCTATGAGCCCAAAACTACCTTCACATAGAATTTAGTTTGTTAAAATAATTTATCATAACCTGCCCCTAGAAGCGTGACAGGTGTAGTTATTGTGTCATGTGTGGCAGTAGGTGGCAGAGAGGTGAGAGGCTATGCCTACATTCAGTGTTTTGACCTATGAATATTTGAATGATAGTAGCTTAACATTTCCTGAAAAACAAAACAAAAAAAAAACAAACAAAAAATGAACCTGAGTTGACCACTAGTCCAGCACCAGGGGCTTGGACAGGGAGCGAGCAAGCCTGAGACAACCACCGGTCTGGTGCTGTGTAGGTTCTGATGGCTCCCAGGACTAGGAGCAAGCCAGCGAATGAAAGCACCCTGCCTGGGACTGAGCGTCCCAGGCTGAAATGAGCCCTGAAAGGCCTGCTTCCTTGCAGGCCTTGGGTAGCATACCGTGCCTAAGATGTCCCTTTCCAGGTCCCATCAGGCACAAGATGGGCGTAGCACTCCTGAAAGTACTCCTGAGGCGACCCTAGACACTCAGAGACCCCAGGGGAGGTCTCTAAGAGGAGGAAGGAAGTGGAACAATGCAAGAGGAAGAGAAACAGAGGAATCGAAGGGAGGTGCAGCTGGAGATTCCAGCGTAGTGAGAAACAGCCGGATGTGAGTAGCTCGTGATGCCACCTAGGAATAGGGTGGGATCCGGTCCTATGCTGCAACTGGGGGCCACATCTGAGTCTGTGGCCCTGAAGCAGCAGGAGGTTAGGTGGAAGGATGTCTGAGGACTGGGCAGAACAGGCCCGACCCCTCACCTGGGCATTGTGGGAGAGCTGGTTCTGGGGGCAGGAGATCGGGAGAGCTCACCCCACCCTAGCCAGCTGCAGTACTCTGGAGGGCAGCCCTGTGCATGGCAGGAGTTTTGGGTGAGTCACCCCAGGATATGAGCATAGGACAGCTGACTCGACCACTTGTTTGCATGGTGGTGGTGCAGACAATGGAGAGATATCCTTCTCTCCCTTCTCCTCTCACCAGCTGCAACACTTGGCAGAGTTGGCCCCGTACTTTGTCTGAACAGCACAGTAGAACTGTCTCTGGTGGGAGGGGCATGGATGAGCTGATTCCGAAGGCGTGAGCATGGGAGAGCTGACCCCTACACTTGTCTGCGGGGTGGTGTCATGGTCAAGGAAGGGATGACCCCCCACACACACACACACATTGCCTCTTGCCACCTACAGCAGGAAAAAGAGCTAGCCTGGAGATCCTCGGAGTGGGAGAGCTGACCCTGTTCCTCATCTGTTGCAGCACTCAAGAGAACAGGCCCTGAACCTTGCCTGGAATGCAGAGTACAGCTGGCCCTGGATGTAGCCTCTCCAAGGCCGAGACTGAGAGACCTGCCCCTGCGTTTTGTCTGCTATGCAGTGGTGTTGGTGACAGAGAGAACCCTTACTCTTCCTTTTGCCCTTGCCACCAGCAGCAGGCAGGAGAGTTATTCCCAGCAGGATCATGAGAGCAGACCAGCCGTCCCTGGCCCTCACCTGCTGCAGTACTAGGGAGAGCCAGCCCTGGGTCTCACCTGGGCAGCACAGCAGAGCTGGCCTGGATGCGGAACTTACGGGTGAGCAGGCCTCACAGCGTGAGTGTGAGAGAGCCAGCCTTGCCTCCTGTTTGCTAGGTGGTGGTGCGAACAAGACAGAGACATCCCCATCTCCTCCCTTATCCCTTGCCATCTATGAGAGGCAGGAGAGATGGTCCCGGGGTCATGAGAGAGGGAGAATTGGCCATGTCCCTCACTGGCTGCAACACTCAGGAGAGCGGGCCCTGCACCTTGCCTGGACATCAGGATAGAGCTGGCCCTGGTACGTGGGGGTTGCTGGTGAGCCAACCCTGAGGGCAGGAGAGCAGGAGAGCCAGTGAGCTGAGAAGCTCAGATACCTTTCAGGCTGAGATCCAGGGCTTTGAATGGGCCCACCCCAATTCCATCAATGAACTGTTGCAGTGCATGAAGAGCCTGTCTCACAGATCCAAAACTGTAGGATCTCCATGACACAAGGCAACAACAGAATATTCAAGAAGAGTACCACTGAAGTTCCACTATCAATAGAGTAGCAGAAGCCAGAGACCTCATACTGGGCCAAAAACTCATTGCAATGAACATTTGCAATCAAGGAAGGATGGTCAAAAGGGTAAACTGTGAGACACACTGTGATTCACTACAGCCTCCATAATAAGATTTTTTTTGTGTTGGTGGGGAGGTTGCAAGGGTGGAGAGGGGGCATGAAGAGAGAGGAAGGTAGGTGGGACTGGGATGCATGATGTGAAATTTACAAAGAACCAATAAAAGGTTTTTAAAAAAAGGAAGAGAAAGAATAAAGGCTCCAAGTTTGAAGATAAAAAGTAACTTATCATAGCCACATCATTTAATCACACCCATTTATGGATTTATATTCTGATGGCATTGCTGGGAGGTGGTGGAGGAACATGGTTAGGAAGAACTTGTTATTGAAGGCATGCTTTGATGACTTCAATCAGGCCGCCTCCCTTCTCTATGCTTCCTGCTGCCTTTGGTGAATAGCCTGCTTCATTATGCTCTTTCCTCCATGATGTACTGCCTTAGCTTACACCTGAAGCCATGGAGCAGGTCGACCATAGACTGAAACTCCAGACACCGTGGGCCAACACAAGTCTTTCCCTCTCTAAGTTCCTTCTCCTTTTCTTTTTTTTTTTTTTTTTAATAATGAGACATGACCAACACACTAGGTCTTTAGAGAAAATACTATTCCAAAAAAATAGTTTCTCATTATCTTAGAGATTAACAGACCAGGGTGTTAGTTCAAGATTTATTCCAACTAATAGGAAAGAGATGGGTAACGTGATAGAAAAATTAGCAGTTGATTCACAAATACGAAACACGAAACACGGGTGGCAACAGAACATTGCATGCATGTTCCAGTAGAATGTTGGCGACTTGACAAATTTCCAGCATGGAGGTGAGCATGAAGCCCCACCCCTAGCCGAGGAACGATGCAAGTGACAGCTATTGGGAGAGGGAGATATACTGCTTTTCAGTAGTGTGGCCCCTCCTGGGCTGACCACGCTCCAGTAGAAAGTCACACATCCGTGAGTACATGGACAGGCATAAATGGACTTAATGAGGTTTAAAAACAAAGGGCACACAAACAAAGGACAGGTAAGGAATGGGGCATAGATCTAGAAGGGATTGTGGGAGGGGAGTGGGTATGATCAAAATACATTGCACGAACTGATAAAAAGATGAGAAAAGAAAGGCTCTTAAAGTTTTGGTCACTTGTCCTGTAAATTTTTAACAAACATGCTTCTTTGACAGTCTGGTGGGAGGAGACTAGTGCGCAATTACTAGGTGGAAGTCAGTTTGGCAGTGAAATGTAAAGGAAGGTGTGTATGCCATCTAACACAATTGTTCTAGGTTTTGGTTAGAATTGAGATCAAGTACTCGGGTGTAGAGTAGTTAAGGAAGATTTATCTTTAACAGCAATAGTGGGAAGCATCCTAAATGTACCTTGGTAGTGAGCTGGTTGTATGGGAATGGTAACTGCAAAGGATAGAGTACTAAAAATACTACTTGGTATTGACAACAGCTTTGCAGGGAATCTGGATGAGCATGGAAAGTACGCCCTTGAGAAAAAAGAATTTTAAAATCACATGTTCAAGATAAATGCACATACAGGGAGCAGCACCAAGCCATACTGCTGCTACTTACTCATGTTTTGTTTTGTTTTGTTTCTTTTTGAGGTCCTGGGGATTGAGCTCAGTGTTGCACAAAAGATAGACAGTTCTCTACCACTGCGCTGCCCTTCCCTTCAGCCCTCCTTTTTACATGTTAAGAATAATTCTTACTGAATTGTTCAGGGTGGTCTTGAACTCAATCTGTGGCCTGGGCTGACCTGAGCTTCTCATCCTCCTGGGTTAATTTCCCCAGTACATGGGATGACAGTCCTGTACCACTAGACCTAGCTCTACCCTTGATTTCCTTTGTACTTTTTTGAGGTGCTTGTTTGTTTGTTTTTGTCTTTGAAAAATATATTGCTGTCCTGGACACTTCCCCATGTCTGGCTGCACTAACTTCATTCTGGAGATTACACTGAGATCCTCACACTTGTGTGGCAAGACCTTTACCAGCTGGGTCATCTCCCCCACCCAGGGATGACCACTTGAAACTCATCAAAGTGTCTACAGAGTTTAGGGCAAATATTCACTGTTTGTCTATAGCTGCAGCTCCATCCAAGACATGCCTGGATTTAAGTTTGCTATAGCCCCTGTCTGCTCACTAGAAACTGCCATAGAGGGCTGTGGTGTGGTCCCAAAGGCATCGAGCCTTCTTACTCACAGTGGTGCCAAGGATGCAGACTTTTATGTTATAAACTTTAAGTTTATATTTATAGTTTATATTTAAGTTATAAAGTTTATATTTAAGGTATAAACTTAAATATACACTGCTAAAATAGAGGTGAAAAATCAAAAAGCCATGTTGGAAGAGGCAGAAGAAACATATTGAGAGAGCAGACACATGGAGATGCTGGGATCATGTACTACACTGAGATCACTCAGTTCCTAGTCATAAAAATTAGACATAAAATTGATATGTTTGCTAGGAACTCTGTTCAGGGGTTGGTTTGCCAGATTCTGTTATAGTTTTACATGAAGCAAAAACTTCCCTAGGAAAGGCAAGTAGAGTATTGTGAGCTCCGAGTCCAAACTTCCATGTCTAAGACATCCTGAATGTTCTTGTTTGATTTGTCTTGGAAGAGACAAAAAAGGAGACGAGAGAAAAATATGAAATGAAAGCCATGCCAACAGGAAATTTGCACATGTTCATGGCTGAGCATAGAATGAGCTGCTTAAACACAGAGCAAAGGTTCCAAATGTGTCCCCAGTGGTCTCACTGTAAGTTGCTTTTTTCCTTTGAAGGCTGGGGGAGTTTTAGGGGAGGCGCATGGCACCATCTAGAGAGCCAGGGGATATTAAGGAAAGGAAAAAAAATAAGAGCATGGATTCCTTTTGGGCCATATTGCACTTCCATCTTGGCAGACAGCCTCTAGAGGCCTGAGAGAACTTAGAACATGAACTTGGAGAGAAATGTTCAGAGCCCCATGAACAGAACAGTGCCACCAGGGAATCCTCCACCGCCATCTATCAGCTGACTTTCTCGGCAAGCTTTTAATTTCAGTG